GCCTGATACTCACAAGTCATGAACAAAACTTCCCTGGTGCTCACTCCCCTTACTTTTAATTACCCTTATTTTTAATTACCGTTTGCTGAAGCTTCGAAAGTACCAGTGGTAGCCATTCCTAACATTCTCATAGAAATAGGGTTTGGAGCAAGCGGAAAGCTCGGGATTCGAACCCATGAACCTGGGATTTCTGGGATTTCGTGAGTTCAATGCTTTCATCCTGGGTTTCCAATACAGTGAATATAGTTGGCTGACGACTTATCAAATTGAACATTTTACTCAACAGTTTAAGTTTAGGAGTTTAGTACTAAACAGATTAGAGACTAATTCAACCATGCTTGATGGTATTGTTGTTCCTCCAAAATACCCACGAGCTAGAAAAAACGGCAGTGGAATCCCAACTGAATCAGCAACTATCTCATGTCGTGGGGGAACTAAGCAAAAATGGACCAAGGTAGATCTCGCTTACTCTGAACACGAAGGGTGTCTACTTGGAGAACTTGAAGCAGTAGTTTCAAGGGTACTAGCAAGTGGAGCTAGACAATCCTACTTGAAGGAGACAAGAGGAAACATTTTGGCAATTTGAGAGAGAACTTAGCTTTAAGTGGAGCCATTAGAACAATACCAAGTACAGCCTACACCAGGTTTAAATCGATGTGAGAGACGATGACAACTCTTTGTAGTGTAGGAATGAACTAAGTACAGATTATTTATCCAACATCCATGCAACCTCCTATATTGGTACGAGTGAAAAGAATAACACAGGTACTAGATGGACTACATGTGGGTCAAGTTAGTAAACAGATTGATCTGGCAGAAGGTGCCATGAACTTGCTCAATAAGAGTATTTGGAGATACCATAAGAATCAAGCTAAGAGTATTTGTGGCCCTGTTACTTCCAACTTTGCTGTATGGAAGGAAGACTTTGACTATTTTGTGGCTTGGAGTCTCGTCTTGATGCTTTTTGCAACAGGTACTTGCATTGGATCATGGGGCATTAGCTGACAGGATCACGTGTCCAACCAACCGTTACACTGTGAGCCCAATGTAGGACTTGTTTGAACAGTCCAGGGCCACTAACTTAGGCCACTTGGCTCAACTCCCGTCCATCAGGTTGTCTTCTCTAGAGATAATCCAGGGTGGAGAAGGCCAATAGATCAACCTAGACAGCTGCTTCTAGGAAACATCAATAAGAACTGTTGTGAAGAGAATAGAAATGGATGATGGACCTGCTTCTCCATGAGGGGCCCATGTTACCGGAAATGATGGGTGGATGTGTCGATGGACCCCCCCCCCCTCAGTATTAGCCCATATGGTTCAGCAGAGACCAAGTCCAATATACCAGAGATTGATGCGATTACCATTTCCAGACAGCTGAGTTGTGCAACACACGTCCATGGCCTCTAGTCCTGTAAGATAAAATTCTGCTTTCTACTCAAGCAGTCACCAATGGCCTTCTAAGTTGCATAATGTTTTACATTTGGAGATGTCCCACAGTGCAATAGAGTCCTTCAGATTGTCAAGCACTTCGTTTTTTAGAAATTGCCATAGAAAATCCCAGAGCACCCATGCCCCTTTTAGGCAAACCACCCTTGGGTAGATTTAAAATTGGGCCTGAAAGTAGCCATAACTATTCTACAAGTTTTACAACTTAGCACTGGAAAATCCTGCAGTTCTAGATGTTCCCCTACCAAGTGCTAACAATTGATGCATTTCTTGAATCACTGCTCTAGGTCCAATGATGCAGGTCAGGGCAGTGGCAACTGGAACTAGCAATCATAAATCTCTGGGACCTCACAAATTATCATAAGTGGCTATTCTCACTACTGGTATGAGCTCCTAAGTCATATCTGTACCAACTGAACACAACACAGAAGTTACTGAAATATTTGCAAATTTGGCACAGGCCATTTTTTCATGTTAAGTTTACATCAGTTGGAAGGATCATACACAACAATATGAGACATGAAGCCAAACACATAATTCAGTCTTGAACCCATAATACTCTCATCGACTGGAACTCCACAACAGAGGGCTGGAGTCTGCTGGAGATGGCTATGATAGCCCCTGTAAGTAATGACAATCACTATAACCCAACCATTATAAAATGTAAACACCCTCACTGACCATGACACTGTCGGGTCTGCTTACCTCTGAAAGGACAGTAAACTCCACCCCTAGTTGGCTTATTTCTCTCACAATAGTCATAAGCTCCAAGCCTCCATCCTGACAGCTTGTCTGAGGTCTACACCACTTGTCTAAATTGTACGTTCTGAAGGCCATTCATTGTTGATGTAAAAATTGCAACCCTCCCAGCAGGGTTCCCATGCTTAATGCAGGATTACAACTCAGTGGTTGCTCTCCCCATGGGACCAGCAGCTTGCTTTGTTTGCTTGTTGAATTGGGATTTGATCCCCTTTCTATCATTCTCCATGAATGCCTCTGATGGGTGATAATTTTGTAAATTGAAATGTGTCAGCTCAGACCTCATATAAAACAA